TGTTAAGAAGAATAAATAAAATAGGTATGATAGATATTAGACAGTAGCATACCCTGCGGTGTAACTGATGATGATTGAAAGGTAGGCATAGTAAACATATAGGGATTAAAAACACCTTATCTTGATATAATACATACCTGCTGAGTCAAATGACCTGATGCCAGGTACAGAACGTAATGCCAGGAATCTAGGCCGAGACCTCCGGAGTGCTACAGTGACATTACTGACATAAGACCGTAATGGACATCAACACTTGAAAGAGACAGAGTCATATACCTGAACATGCTTTAGGCAATAATGCCATACACGGAGGAGACAGGGTACAAAACATGTGCCGACAGTGGCAGGTAAACAGCGTGTGAAAGTAACTGCAATTACTAGACTAACCATTTAAAAGTTGAGGCATATAATGACATAATTAGCACTGCTTCAACTGAATTAACCAAAAAGGTATGACCAATAATTAAAACAGTGAAACCAAATACAATTTCTAATCCTGCCGCATGAGGCTTAATAAAATTAAAACTTGGTGAATTTGTGATGAACGTGTGGTGAATTTGGCCGAATATATTTGTAACCAGCATATAATGCCTGAGCAACCGTATGTCGCTGAACATGGCTTGACTGCAAACAGCCTAGCATAAGGTGTGCAAGCCATTTCCAAATGTGCTCTTGAAATTGACCCGAAATGGCGAGAGAGTACTGAGTCTTCGGTCAGCCAAATGTCGGTCGAGGAGGTATATGGGACTGAGGGAAGCCAACGAATGACTTGAAATGTGAGCTGAAAGTGTGGCTCTGTGCCAGAGGCCCGAGGGGCCTAAACTCACTGTTTGCTGCGGCCGTTTATGGCCGAATTGGAGACCTCGGAACTACTGACTGCCGACCCTGGAGGTAGCCTGCCCACGTGACTAAGGGAGCCACCCGGAGGGTGACCTGTGTTTTTATAGCTGGGTAATCCCTCCCACAATTACAGGCTACGCCTTCTATATATCAATGCTATGTATTTTTTATTTATTTATTTATTTTACATTCTTTATTTTTACGTGCATAGTAAAATATAAAGGCTTGTACAGACATTTTATCATAGATATATATGGTCAGAGCTGACATAGGTGAAGTGTAAATGTCATATGATTAAACCTCACTTTTTAAAATAATAGTATAAAGTAGAACAGCATGCATTTTAGTAGGCTTAATTCACAAGAGTAATATGTGCAGAGGAAGGTGCACACTTAGAGACATTGCTATTAGTAAGACCGATCATTAGAACCTATATAAACGTAACAAGTACCATGTTAGTATTTCCAGGTGAGTGTTACCCCTACCACTAAATCACTTTGGACTCTCTTGAACACATCAGGCATGACGGGTTCCAAAATGCAACAATGCTATGTAATTTTACTACATCATTGCCTTTATACAAACATACACACTTAATACTCAGAAATACAGTATACACTGTTTATCCACATTTATTAACATACATATTTACATACATTGAACAGCCACAACATTAAAACCACTGACAGGTGAACTGAATAACATTGATTAAATTGTTACAATGGCACTCGTCAAGGGGTGATATATATTAGGCAGCAAGTGAACAGTCGGTTTTTCAATTTCATGTGTTGGAAGTAGGAAATATAAGCAAGCAAAAAAATCTCAATGACTTTAACACGGGCTAAATAGTGATAGATAGAGGACTGGGTCAGAGCATCTCCAAAACAGTAAGTAATGTGGGGTGTTCACAGTTTGTTGCATATGGGGCTGCGTAGCCGCAGATCGGTTAGAGTGTCCACAATGACCCCTGTCCGCCACCGAAAGCGCCTTCAGTGGGGATGTGAGTATCAGAACTGAATCATTGAACAATGGTTCACACTTTCTTTTAGATCAGGTGGATGGAAGGGTGCATGTGTGTCATTTACCTGGGGAAGAGTTGGCAGCAGTATGCACTATAGGAAGAAGGCAGGATGGCGGGCAGTATTCTGCTCTTGGAAACCTTGGGTCCTGGCATTCATGTGCATGTTACTTTCATGCGTACCACCAACTTAGAAATTGTTACAGGCCATGTATACCCCTTTATGGCGATGGTGTTTCCATATGGTACTGGCCTCTTTCTGCCGGTTAATGCTCCCTGTCACATTTAAAAATTGTTCAGGAATGGTTTGAGGAACATGACAAAGCGTTCAAGGTGTTGCCTTGGCTTTGAAATTCTCCAAATCTCAATTCAATTGAGCGTGTGTGGGATGTGCTGGAACAACAAATCTGATCCATGAAGGTCCCACCTAGCAACGTGCAGGAATTAAAAGGTCTGTGGCTAATGTCTTGGTGCCAAATACCGCAGAACATGTTCAGAAGTCTTGTGGAATCCATGCCTCGTCGCATCAAAGCTGTTTTGGCAGTACAGAGGACACCTACATGATATTGGACAGGTTGTTATAAAGTTGTGGCTGATCAGTGTATACACAAATAAATACTTATATATTGATAAATCCCAGACAGACCAACAGATACAGTCCCCACACCAATAGAAAATGCATTATACATACTTAAAGCTGCAATCTCTAGAACATAAAACATGAAATTAGGAGGCTGATGATTTAAAAATGATACACAGTATTTGAGAGTTCGTAAAATTTATAAGCTACCAGGAGTAAGTTTACTAATTATTTAATCAGTTATGTGGTCTGAAAGGCGCCACCATAATCAATTTAGCAGTTTTACAATAGGATACATCTATATTTTGTCATTGAGCACTTTCACGTGCCACATAAAAGACTGTAGAATTGATATATGTCCTGCAGAAGCATAGCAATCTGGCAATGTATATTTATATGTATCCTTATTCTCCCTACATTTTTTTTTAATATGGGTGGAATGTTTTCCTATTTTAACTACAACTAACCATTTTCGTCAGTTAGATGTACTTTAAATATTATTTTTCATGCATGTAAGCTTTGCCAAATAAATTCTAGTAATTTTGGGAAGACATTTATTTAAAATGCCAGCATGAAACGGGGAAACAGTATACATTTTAACTTTGGCGTAAAAATATGTACTATATATAATCGTAGGTTTATGATTAAATCATTGAGTGACTGACGTTAAAAGGAAGTGACCTTTAATTGCATTCCATAGACCTATTTTTACCACAGTAAGGGTTTAATAAATCCCGTTCACAATATTGTATAACATTGCATAGCCTTGACTATACACTAAATATTATGTCACATCTTCAATAAACATGAGATTTAGCTACAGTTAGTTGATCAATAAAATCATTTTGCTAAAATCACCCTCTATCACAGAATCCACACCCATCACTTTTTGGCAAAACGCTCATTGTCAACAATCCTTTTTTTTTGTGGATTTTCCTAAGCCACCTTAAATGAACAGTCAGTTCTCAGAATCCTTTGACAGCAGCTGCAACCAGCTGTTTTGCAAAGGAACAAAACTTCCGATAGACTGAATCCAGACTATACTTGTATCCCAGATGATCCTTGTCTAAGATGGTACAAACACATCTTTCCTTGCTGAGTAACACTCTCCACAAGCAAATTCAGTCTTAGGATGGCCCCATATGTTTCTGCTGAGCATGTATAAAAAGGCTACCATTCTCCCCCTATAGGGTGAGTCATCTCCACATGTAAATTTTACATCAAGCATAAACAGTCTGTCTTTATTTCTCTGGCGCAAGTTGTTAAAGGGTTAGACACGCTGGTAGAAAGTTGTCATAGAATCTGCATCTGGAAAATGATATGAATCAGACATTCAAATGAAGACCAAGAAAACAAAGATTTCACAGCAGTTGCACAAGTGACATCCTAAATATAATAAACAAGATGTAGAATTAATTTTAAATATATTTTCATTTTACATTTGGTAAAATATTTCATAGAGAATCTTTTTAAGTGGAAAATTCAGCATGTTACATGCTCACGTTGTTTACTTAAAGTTTGGTTTTCAGTATAACAAGTTACAACAGAGAAGGCACAAGGTAAAATTTGACATAATGTAAACAGTAATCATTGCATTCCAGGTATACTATATACCCACCTGGACCTCAAAAGGAGATACATGAAAGAAAAGACTCTGATGTCTGCACTATTTAGGAAAAGATCAGAGGAATATGTGCAGAGGAAAGGAATAGGCAGAGGCAGGAAATCGACAAATGAAAAATGACTAGAAAACTAATAAAATAGGGGGAAAAGCCAAGGAATGCATCCTAACACATCATTGCTTTCTGCTGATCCAACACCTCGAGAACCATCATCAGCTCATCTGTAGTTACGAAGAAAGTGTGTCCAAGAGAACCATGGTTTCATTACACTCTGAGTAGCATTATACATACAGTTTAGCATTATTTTCACCTTATCAAGACTCCAAATCTTAAATTCACAGGTGGATTAATCATCCAACAAAAAGAAACACATATAATAAATATAGTTCCGATTGTGAACACTATTTGCCTGGGTGCATAAGTGTGAGCACTGGTTAATAGCAAAGAGTTCATGTCTAGATTACACTTTTGACTTAGGGAGACTCTAGAGGAAAACTACTTGAGCTGAATTTGTGTTCTTATGAACTATTGTTTTGATTAATTTATATATGATAAGAGTTAAAAGAGTAATGCAGATGTGCACTACTGGCTCATTGTGCATCAGGGATATCAGCTACACCACACTGACAAGGCCCATGGAAAGTGGAAACAAGAATCTGTGATTGCTGTATGTCTCATGCAGAGGTAGCCAGCCAGTATTTCAGATCTGGACTGCCCTTGTGGGTGGGATAAATCTGATAAACAACTGGCTAAAGTTCTCTTCATAGTGGCACAAGTGAGCTAAAATCTGCATGAGACCTAAGATGGAGAACCATTGAGGCAAAGCTAATTGAACTGTTTTATGTGCTCAGTGTTCTCATAAGCTCTTGTTTTTGGCTAATGTGCATATAACTACGGCATATAAGAGGGTTATCCAGACATACTCTGCTTGCTCACTGTGCATAGAACAGCTAGACCTCACCGATAGGCCTAAAGAAGGCTTAAACCATCGTCTGGGTTGTGGTATGCCTAATGTCTACTCACAGTGCTTTTCATAAACAATTGCTTTTTGATGATTTACTAAATGCCAATTGTATTTGTTGTGGGGCTGTGGGAGGCAGTCCCAAAATGCTCTCTACTGATTGTTTAACTAAGTTATAATCTAAAAAATATAGTTCAAAACAGAGCAAATTTCTTCACAGCAATACAAAAGATAAACACTAGCTATTTACTATTTGGAGTCATTGTTTCATATACAGAAGAAAGATTGGTCTCTTAAATTGAATACAGGTAGTCCTCATTTTATGACCTACCTGTTTTACTACGATGAGAGCCATGGCTAGTGAGAGTCGTTGTGGGAATAAGAGGCATATCCTGCTCTGCTGCGTTCATCTATGTTGGGGGGAAATTTCCCTGAACATAGAAAAACGCACCATAGCAAAAACGCCTCACTTACCGAACAATTATTTCTACGACCGGGTCATAAGAACGGAATCCAGTCGGTAAGTGAGGAGTAGTAATAATAAGTCCTGATAGTCAAAAGATATGTCTATCAGAAAATGTGTAAGAGGGAATAAGACAGAGAATAGGATAAAAGCTCTGAAACTGGAAAAAGTGGGGTTTCATCAAATCCCATAAGTATTCACAAGTATAAAAATAAAGGCATCCAGGAGCTTATAACATGTAACTAATAGACACTAAATATATAATATATTAACAGAGAATAAATATAGATATCAATATTAATACAATTCTAAAATTCTAAAACACTTAAAACATCCAGAAAAGAGTTGATAGATAGTTACTTAATCTTATATATCAGCAATGCATAAGAGTCATTCTGGAGGCTCACCTCATTATAACTTCAATATTATCTCACAATTGCACAGACTATAGGCTTTTCACCTAAACAGCCACTTTCTTAAAATATTGCTCCACTCTTTCCTATTTTTTTCATTCCCTACATGAGGCATAAAAAAATCTGAGTAACTTCCAGACTGCCATGTCCCTTTAAGCACTGCACCTGAAAAGTAAATCTGAGATAGTGGAAGTTCTATTGACAAAAACAAAATATAGCGGTTTATTTAAGGGTAAATTATACAGGGTTTTTTTTAACACGGTTTTAAAAAAAGATAGCAAAATGCTCATAGTTGGCTTGTGGCATCCATGGTACATAAAAACCTTAAATGTCTTGGCCATTACTACATATTCAATCAGTTATGCTGGTGTAGAAAACTTAGAGTGAATTTAAAAACTCCCAAAGAGAAACATAGAAATGGCAAATAGCATTTATTACATAGACTAAGTAATCTACATGAGGTGTTCATTTGATATGTTCCAAAGATAAAATTGTCTAAATTTTGAGTGACCGGTGGGTAGTCCAAATTCCGTAACCCCAAACTTCCATATGGCCTAATTATGACAAGCGGACAACGGACATGCCAATTCGCTTTATTCATAATTTGGACTAACAACCATGGTGCTCCAACTAACTGCTCCAAAGTAATCAAATGAGCAAAAGTTGACTGAATGTAAATCAAATTTGAATGAAAATATATCATTCTATTCAGTCATAATTTGGTTGGAATTTTATTGCCTGAATTTTGACTGGAATTCACTTCAGGAAATAATAATTGCCATATATAACCAGTATTACATATACATATTATGTATATATTTAGCTGACCATTGATTAGCCAATATGCAAACTCTTTTGGTTTGTCTGAATTTTTTTCTGAATCATTTTCATGGAGGATATTTGGATGAGCCAAATAAAATATATATTTTTTAACTACTTGATTCAGCTGCACCAAAATTTTCCACCATGCACAAGTGTTTTATATATATTAGCACCAGTAATCCTGGGCTGGCGCACCTCCATACATAGTTGTACATACTGTTACATGGTTATATAGGCTGATAAATAGACTTGCGTCCATCAAAGAAGGCAAAAAATAAATAAAAAAAACAGTTTGAATCGATTTCCAATTTTACAGCAAATTAGGGAAAAGTTCTTACTTGACCCCAGAATTGCATATATTCCTGAATATTATGTTTTTGCATGGATTCATCCAGGAGCTGTTTAAACATCTGTACAGACTCTGATAAAGCCACCTCTTCAGGCAAAGATGTATAGTATGTATAGTCCTGTTTATGATATCCAGACAATCATTTGTATTAGCCCCTGATATATTTGTATAATTCTATCATATCCCCTTCGAGGTGCTGTTTTTCTCAACTAAAATGATTTCAATTTGTTGACCTTTCTTCATAACTGTATGAATATAGGAACCACATCTATATTTCACCAATCCTGTGGTACAATCCCAGAAATTATAGAATCCGGAAAGAAGTAAATCAGATGTTCACTTATTTCCATGCTTGGCTCCTTAGCTCCTTAATTACTCACAGGTGAATACCATAAGGTCTTTAGAGCTTTGTTTATATTAACTTTCTTTAGTTACAGAAGCTTGTCTTTAGTCATCCAATCATATATTTTGTTCAGCATTTATTTGCATATCTCTTGCGATATGCACCTCCTTAATATATACATCACAACCTGTCTAGCCTTTCTTTAATTCTCAGTCCCTCCCATACTACAGGGGCAGTTACCCTGGCTGTTAGAAGGAACAGCTTCCTCCAGCACAACCACTCCTAAACTGATACTCCCAAAATGAACAAATCAACTAGGGAGCACAAAACCAGGACTAGCCAATCCTTTCCTCTTCCCCTACCTGTCACTACTTTTTACCTGCCAGCCACTACTAAATGCTAAATTACCTGTCACTACTTTTAGCAAGTATTGAGTTTTTAACATCTACCAGTTTCACAAGTAAAGACAGGGAGTTACCGGCAGTCACTATTGAAAAAGCCATGCACTAACAGCTCTCATTATTTTCTACGAGAGAAATTAGTGACAGGTTCCAGCCTTGGTGCTACTATTACTGGTGGCTGCTAAACATTTAAATTAACTAATGGATAATAATTAATAATAATTTCACTGTTGGTAAAAGTGCAATGGCAAATTGCCAGCTTCCCTTTTATGAATATAGACTTTATGCCAGAAAATAAATTATGATTTAGCTGTACATTTACTGTGAATCAAAACTGCGAATCAACCTACTAAATCTCACAAATCTTTCGAAAATACGCTGCTTTCATTTATTTTTGGGAAACACAATACAACTTGACTTTTAAGTATTTTTTATGGTTTTTTTTGTTTTTTTAACCAGATTGTAGTGTTGCTTATAAATATGCCTGTTTACACTGGTGTATACACTCTTTGCTAACTTGTTACCAAATAAACTGAGAAATATCCTTCTCATATAAACACTACTTTAATCATTCTTAATATAGTTGTCATACTCAAGATATAACTCAATATGCTGACTTAAGCAAAAAGTTCACATTCAAAACATAGCCCACTCTTTGCCAATAAAAATATTTATGAAGACAGCTAGTTCAAACTTGAGAAATGATGCACAAGTTTATTGAAAAGAAAGGCAATTAATATACATTTCCTGGGGGTAGTTTTAAAATAACAATTACTACTGAAAAACGATAATAAAGTGATCATTATTATTTTCATCTTTAAAGGGATAGTTAAGTGTATATTTCATGAAAACTATAAGTAGAGCTTTCAAACGTATATGTTTATATTCTAATAGATGTGTGAGGGCAAACATAGTTTATCCATTGCTGAGTTAGACAGATTAACTGGCAATATTTATATTATGGATTTGTTACCTTCAAATTCAACAATAATAGCATCAGAGCCATTATAGTTTATTGTAGTGGTTATGGTGCTAGGAGGCTATTAATGGAATTTGTAGTTTTCCCCAACATCCAGTGCTCACCCCTTAACTCGCAGCTGCATAATGAGGAAGTTCTCTTGCTCATTATCTGTCCAAGTGTTTGTATGAAGTGATTACACATTACCCGCTCTTAACATGTAATATGGTTCTGTAAGCACTGGGAAAAAAGAAGACATTGTCTGCATGTAAACCATTGGTCAGTTGATATCACCAGTGTACATCAGATTCTTACACAAAATAACACGTGTGTACCTGTGTGTAGTACAAAAAGATATATGAGTATTTACATACACCTGGGTTGCGTGTCGTAGGCCACTTAAAGCCTAGGTTAGCACAGTGCATTGCCCCCAGCCAAAAGCTGTCAGACATTCCTTGTCACAAAATATTACATAAAACCTTGTCTCTCTCTTTAGAAGATGTTATGGAAACTGCAATATACGATATGTACACAGTTTCACCACAAGTAGGATATATGATATGTACACCGTTTCACCACAACTAGGTCATTAAACTCAGAATTAAATTATGCTTTCACATGTGAAATAAATATGGCCAATATGTCATCAGTAAATATGGAGACAAAGGGATAGATAATGAAATTTATGCTTTATAGCGATGAATATAGTTTATGGTAAATTCATATAGTTTATGGTAAATTCATATAGTTTATGGTAAATTCATATATTACAAATTACTTTAATAAAAGCTTTACTTAACAAAATGTTTTATTCAGGACTGTATAATAATAATAATGTATTAATAGTGTTTTTTATTGCTTAGGTGGCAAAACAATTCAAAGTGTTCATTTAGTAGTATCCTTAAGTGACACAGCCTGATAAATATATGTTTAACAAGTCCGTAAATAGCTATATTGTCTTCAAACTGATGAGTGTTCTGTTAGTCTTTGATGTTCAGTGTTCTGCAATAAAATGTATGTTGGTTCTATGGCCATGCTGTAATGATACAGGTGGTTTATGTGGTTATAAAAGGACCAAAGAAGATTACAATACTTAGATGCAGCTTCCAAACTAATGGAAGGATTTGATGGTCAGAAAACAGTGGTCTGGGTTTCATTTAAAGAACATTTACAATTTAATTTAATTTGGATCAAGATTTTTAGGAGTTTACTGTGTCTGTTTAATGAAGAGTAATCCACCTTGGTAATAAGACCAGCTTCTGTCAAATTAATAACAGTAACACATTCTATCTAGCCTTAACAAGAATTTATGGTGTGCACAGTTTCCTTACTGATCAACTCTACTATACTCTCACCAACATGAAGATGTCACAGCCCTGCAAGTCTGCATATACCATTCCACCAAACCTACCATTTCTTCTTTAATTAAATTTTACCCCACTTCTGAAGAACATCATGACACAACTGTTTCAGTGAGCTAGT